TCCAGCCTGTCATTTGTCATCAAATGCTGCATTCTGATTGGCCCTGACTGTCCAAAATCCGTACGTGGAAAAATAATCATTATGATATGTGAAAAATCATGTGAATTCGAGCAATTAACGCTATTGCGAAGGATATTGGCATGTCTGCCAGGTACAAGAGTGAAGTTATGGGGGTAAAAGTTTGAAACAATGTTAGACTCATATCGTAGTTGACTTTAAGCATGTCAATGTTCTATTCCGAAATACAAAAAATCCAGGGTAGCTGAATTGACATGGAATGTCCCATGTAAGATCGAAAAATCGAATTTTCCATGGAATTTTTTTCTTTTTCTCATCTCCATATGGCTATCCCATTTTGAAATACTCCGGAAAAGTTGAGTAATCCCGGCTGGGCGAATCGGAATTTTTTCTCTCTAAATTTTAATTCTATTTGTGAAGCGAATTTTTTTCTCTAAATTCTAATTCTGTTAGAATTCTTTAATGCCTAAAGGAGGTTAGGCGGTGTATGAGGTGAATTTGAGAGTGAATTTCTGTGGTTCCCAGTAGCTTAGTCGGTAAGAGTGCCCGGCGCGTATCTGGGAGACCCGGGTTCGATTCCCGGCTGGGTGAAGCGGAAATTTTTTCTCTCTAAATTCTAATTCTCTCAGAATTTATTTTTTATTTCATTTTTTTCAACTTTATCATCCATCGAAGAAAAAAAAATTGTTCGATTTTCGAATTGCCCCTGCGAAACAGAGGGACTAAAATAACGAAAAACTTAAAAAATGGCTTAGTAGTCATCTTCGTGGTACTGTTGTATTTTTAGTCTCAAAGTATATAAAAAAACGAAAAAAAATTCTTTTTATTTATTAAAATCGGCCACTTTGTTCGTAAGATATGATTTTTCAAAATTGGAGCTTTTGTTGTTTGTCCTGGCCAAACAATTAATGTTAAAGGAGTGAAAATTTAGAGAAAGTATGTCCTCATGTAGTACTTGACTGGGAGCATGCTAATTCAGGATTCTGAGAACCAAAAAAATCCAGAGTGGCTGAGTTGACATGGAATGTCCCATATGAGAATTTTTTTTTCTCAGTATATTGATAATGTTGAGTAAGTGAGATTTTTTTTTTGGATATAAATAATTGTCCCTTTCCATTCTTCATGAAAATAAATCCACCCCTTTAATAGAATAAAGCTTTCGTTTATTACAGTGGAAATTCACATCAGTACTGCAGGTCTGATAATAAGGTGTAGATAGAAAACGTCATTCAACTTCGGGCAAAAAGGATGCTTTTGATACGTTTCGGATGCACCTGAACTTCAGATACAGTCGACACGCATTGAATTCGACACTTTCCCCCAAAACGGCAAAACCATATAATTATGAACTCTGTCGAACCAATTCTTAAATATTTTCCGATGAGTAATTACGATAAAAACTTGATCTTATATTACAACACCATGAAAAAATTTAAACAACGAAAATAAAATTTTGATAAAACGCTCTTCATTCCGTCTAGATTCTCGATAATCTCAAAGGCTTTTGTAGATTCCAGCGTTGAACATTTCCTGCCACTTTCGACCGTTAGGATATTCATAGTCCACTAATGTTTGTTTTTTTAATTCTGTGGAGTATCCAGTAGTTTTTGGTGCCATATAATGAGCATTTTTAACAATCGTAGGATTCACAAAATGATCGTGCTGCTGATCAACATATTCAATTATTCTTCTATCAGTTGTTCCACTTAAACTTATAAAATCCCACATTTGCAGGTGCTGAACCATCTCACAAAGACCCACGCCGCCAGCATGAGGGCAAACAGGAATTCCCAACTTATGTGCCATTAGATACACACTTAGAATTTCGTTTACGCCGCCAATTCTTGCTGAATCGATTTGGCAAAAGTCAATCGCCTTCATTTGGAAGAATTGTTTGAAGATTATTCTATTTGCGCATGCTTCGCCAGTGGCGACACCTATACCTAATGGACGGAGAGCATCAGCTATCCTCAGATGACCCAAAATATCGTCTGGAGAAGTCGGTTCTTCGATCCAGTAGGGTTTAAAATCTTCGAGCTTCTTCATCCACTCGATTGCCTCCTCAATTTCCCAGATTTGGTTGGCATCTACCATTAATTTATTTTGTTCGCCAATTTCCTGACGGATAAGGCGTAGTCGGCGAATGTCATCATCAATATCGTGACCTACTTTGACTTTGAAGTGAGTAAAGCCGAGAGCGAGATACTTTTTGCAGAGCTTACGAACTTTTTCGTCAGTGTAGCCCAACCAACCGATTTGGGTTGTGTAGGCGGGGAGACCAGTTTTGAGAAGGTGATCTTCTCGAACGGCTTTTGAGGATTGTCTCTCTTTCAGAAGTGAAAGAGCTTCTTCCTTTGTTATCACGTCCGAACTGAAAGGAAAAGATTTTTATTAGTAATCAAATCGAAATACTCGAATCAAACATAATCGTATTTCTCATCACGAAACTGACCGAAGCTGTTCGGGAGCGTTTTGGACTCAGTATTATTTATTATCTGCTCTTCGCGATAAATCTCTATTGGACTTAGATAAAATTGCGCCTGATGAACTAACGGATCTGAAAATATTGAAAGAAATTCTCAATAATCGATTTGGGGAACAGAAATTTTACCGCGTTTACCATCAGAGATTCCGGGCTAAGTTGAAACTAGGTGCAGTCAACTTGGAAGAGGTCAAATTCACTCCACCTATTTCAAATTTCTGCTACTGTACGATTTCCTCTGATCCAAAATCGAATTTACATCTATTAGTGTATGGAACAATTACTGGTCATTCTTAGTTTTGAGGCTTTCGCGGCCATTATTAATGACTTGATTGGCTTCCGGATGGATGCCGCGTTGAGTTTCAGCATTGCGCCGACGTTTCGCAAACATTGCAGTCTGCATCTTCAGGGCTATGAGCTCCGATTCTGAGCTCCGATGTGTGGGGGCAGTCCTTATATACCTTCCCTTGTGGTGGTGGGAGAAGGGGAAGGGGGGG